TCTTCGAGAAGTAGTCGGTGCGCTGGGAGAGGTTAGGAGGATATGTTGCACCTAAACTCGCAGACGTCGCAGAGGATTCACCGACCAAAAAATATACAATTTCCAGTGAAATCACCATTAATCTTGATGGGCACAGTTGTTTTCTACTGTAAATATATTGCCCTGTTACAGTCTGACTGCTGTTTCGTCACAAAGGAAGGTAAATTACAAGTTTGAAGCTTTTATAGGCTTCGGCCGGGAGAGGCCTAACTGCTATAGTGCTGAGTGTTGTAGAAAGTTTGAGATAAACCGCAGTAAGTACACAAATGACACCAAGAAAATCTGAAAGTTTATGAAATTTGGCTCGGGATAGGCTGCGTCCCCGGGAGCACGTAAAAGTGTAAACATTTATAAAATGTTTATAAATATGAGCTGGGGTTAGGGGCCGATCGGTAGGCTCGGCTTTATAATCGTTATTTTTAGTTTAGGAGGTGCCGGTTCGACAACAAATACCTATAAAGCACTTCGCCAATGTGTCTCTTACCTTTTTATCGAAGGTCCGATGTGGGTCGGGCATTATTTTGTCTGAAATACTGAAAGTAATGGACCAGTGCGACAGGGTCTCCTCAGCGCTCGCAAATAGTTTTGTTCATTAACAAGATAAAAGACGCAAAATAGGTGTGGTCTTGTTATATTCCAGCTCCTTGTGACCTGCGGCAACGTATTGAAAACTTTCCTTGACGATTCTTGTATGGCAAAGTATTTTAACTAATCTGCAGTGAGGAGCACTGAGCGGTGGTTTGAACGGCCGGTTCGCGCCGTCCGGGCGGCGACTTCCGGGGCTCGCGCATAGGCCGCGCTCTCAGCATTGCGTTGCGACCCCCTTGAAAGACGGTATCGGTATCCCAAAAAGTACCTAGGTATCGGTAAGGTAGAATGAAATTTCCAGTACCTAGGTAAGGTATCGGAAAAAGTACCTAGGTACTACCTAAGTACTACCTAGGTACTGTACTACCTAGGTACTACCTAAGTACTACCTAGGTACTGTACTACCTAGGTATTTCCCATCCCTGCAGAAATGGTCTGGCCGCAAGCCCGACCATCGCCGCCGGCAGGCCAAGCAGGCCCGGCCCCTGCCGAACGGAGTTGCCGGCGGAGCCGGCAACTTCGTTTGGCGGAAGAGTGGGCCTGCTTGTTCTCATTTCTTTTATAGCAACGACTGTTGTCCGACAGTCGTGCCAAAGGTCTGTGCAACTAGGGGCAGTTTAGTATATTATTAATTCTACGCGTCTCTTCTTATAGCGTCAGAACGAAACGGACTGCGATCATGGCGGCCGCGTCGTCCGCACGCTCGGTCGCGAGCCAGTCCCTGGCGGCGTTCGCCGTGCTCCTCATCAACATCACAAGTGGAATGGGCCTCGGCTGGCCTTCCCCTGCGTGGATCAAGCTCACGGAGCCAGCCGCCAGCGACAACCACACCGGTGGCCCAGGGTTCATCCTCGACGTGGACGAGGCGTCGTGGGTCGTGGCGCTCTACGACACGGGCATCCCCCTGGGTTCGGTGCTCGCCGGCCTGCTCCTGAGCTCGGCCGGGCGGCGCCGCACGCTCATGCTCGCCCCGCTGCTCGTGATGAGCTCGTGCGCCCTCGCGGCCACGGCCAGCTCCTCCACGCCTCTGAAAGTGGCGCGAGTCCTCCACGGCATGAGCTTTGGCATGGAAATGTCCCTCAGCAGCCTCTACATTGGCGAGATGACAAGCAGCGACATGCGAGGCAAGCTTTGCACGTTCACGTCTTCACTCGTGTTCGTCGGCGTGCTCATCGAGTACATCATCGGACCGTATGTGTCGTACCTGGCGCAGGCGCTGCTGCCGGTGCCGTTCGCGCTGCTCAGCCTGGTGCTCTGTCTGGTGTGGGTGCCCGAAAGCCCCTACTTCCTTGCGGCGCGCGGCCGCCACGAGGAGATGCACCGCGCCCTGGCCCGCCTGCGCGGCCTGCGCGCTGGTGACAGGCATCCCGACGTGGACGGCGAGGCCGAGGAAATTCTGCGCTTCACGGAGCAGGACCGGCGGCGGAAGCGCATCCAGTGGCGCCACCTGCTGTCCTCTGCGGGCAGCCGGCGCGGCTGCCTCATCGTGCTGTTCTTGTGCGGGACCGCGCCTCTGACCGGCACCGGCTGCCTGCTAGCGTACGCGGAGTACATGTTCCGCACGACGGGCAGCGCCCTGCCCTCCGAGATCGCTGCCATTATCATGAGCTCCGTTCAGGTGGCGGCTGGAGTGGCCTCCTCTCAGGTGAGTCCTATCGGGATGGTAGAAGGTGGGCGACGTCCACAACCGCGACAGGACGCAAAAGTCTGCAACTGGTTGTGTTCAACTATTTGGTACGCCCTGTACATTTGAATACTTTCAAGTGTTAAAAAGAACTGTTAATTTTTTTTTGTAAAATTGAATTACAAAGCAAGTTATAAATGAACGGCGGCACATTTTTTACTCGCCTATGCATTAGAGGTCCGTCCTACATGTAATTTTACGATTACAAATTATTACTGTACAACTTGCGTCAGCTAAAATTTTCATGTAAACCTTACAAATTTGTTTTCAAACTGTTGATTTTAACACCTGAAGTGTCCAAGGTGTTGTGGCGAAGCCGTAAGTTGAACACATCCACACCCAGAAAACGGTTCCGTTGATTTTATGTCTGATGTTGTGCTAGAATTTTTCTCTTGATTCATGTGATTAGCATATGCTTTAAGGGAAAAATGGCCATAGGGTGCCCGTACAAAAATAAAGAGATCTAGGTTGTCTCCACGGGAGATAGCGTGGAGACGTTGTCAAGACAGTAAAGAGCCGAACTTAGACAACACGGAGACAACCTCGAGACGTGGCGTTTTGTCTCCAGTTGCGTCTCAGTCAGGTCTCGTGTACGATCCCGTTTGGAGACGACACAGAGCCATAGCGTGGAGACAATCTGGAGACATCGACATGCGACAGACGAAGAAAGGCGAAATCGAGAATCGATGCCGCAGCGGGCTAGGGTCGATCCACCAACCTTCTGCCTGCTGAGCGGAGCCGATGACCACTGAGCCAGAGTGATCACTGCGAGGGAGCTGCGCTGGTCGGTGCCACTAGCCGCTTTGGGATTTCCGCCGGCCTCGCCTACCGAGCGAGTCTGGCGGCTAGTGGCACCGACCAGCGCAGCTCCCACCACGCTATGGCTCTGTGTCGTCTCTAAACGGGATCGTAAACCGTCGAGACCTGACTGAGACGCAACTGGCGACAAAACGCCACGTCTCGAGGTCATCTTAAGTTCGGCTCTTCACTGTCTTGACAACGTCTCCAAAGAGTCTCCACGCTATCTCCCGCGGAGACAACCTACATCTCTTTATTTTTGTACGGGGTCTCTTTGTAATTGCAAAGCATCACATTGTAATTCCAAAGTAAATGCTTCGTAGTTACAAAGGATCTAAATACTTCGCAGATGAATCTAACAGAGCACACTCTTCTTACGTGAAGGGAGCAAATTTGAAAGAGTCACAGGCCTGCCCGGAACCTTAAGGTTAGAATATTATGCCCGACAAACGCCGTCAGACCAAGCTAGGCCCGGCCCGGCCCCTGCCGAACGTAGTTGCCGGCGGAGCAAAGTGCAGCTGGCAACTCCGTTTAGCAGAAGGGCTGGCCTGCTTGTTCTCCCTTCGGAATGCAGCCCTGCTCCCTGACCTCTATTCGCTCTGTACCGTGTCTTCCAGGTTATCGACCGTGCAGGTCGGCGGCCACTGCTGCTAGTTTCCTCGTTGTGCAACGCCGGGGCGATGGTCGTGGCCGGCATATTTTTCTTCTTGAGGGACGCCCTGGGAAACAACGAGGCGGCCTCACACATAACCTGGCTGCCCCTTGCGGCGCTTATGGTCTTCATGGTGTCCAACAATTTGGGCACCACCACCGTGCCGTGGGTCATGATCGGCGAGCTGCTGCCCCTCCAGGTGAAAGCCTTCATTCCGAGCCTGTCGGTGCTCGGCTTCTCCATCGTGGCCTTCAGTGCCAACAAGCTTCTCCCGGTGTTAGTCGAGCGCGTCGGGCTTTTCCTGCCTTTCTGGACTTTCGGGGCTTGGTCCATCGTCATATTTGTCTTCACCTTCTTCATGGTGCCGGAGACGCGCGGAAAGACGCTGCTGGAAGTGCAGGCCTTGCTAGAAGGGGACAAGGCAAAGTTGAGGCATCAGGAAGCCACTGCCCTGGATCCCGAGGACAATCAAGAGCGCTGTTGATCCTTACTAAAGCTATTCAGTAAACGTCACTTCGAGCCTAAGTGGTATTAACGTAGGAGTAGTACGTGCAGCAGCCCGTAGTGGCTGTGAGCTTTAGTCGTTAGTGTGCTAAAATTATCAGGTGTAACTTTTAAAAGAACACAGTAATGTAGAGATAGAATGCCAGTAAAGCGGGAAAGAAGAACAGAAAAAAAGAAGAAAAAAAAGACTTTAAATCGAAATGGTACAGTTGTTGGCATAGTCCATTTTGTATTTTTGATTTTTATTGTTGGAAGTTTGGTTCTACTTTTTCCTATGTCATTTTAAGTTCTCAGTCCCCAGTAATTAGAAGTGGAAGTGTGATGACTTTCGACCTCGACAAATGATTGCTGTTAACAGATTCAACTTACAATGTATCAAACAACAGTAGAGCAATTAAATGTCGTATAACTCTGGGTATGGCAAAACCTTGTCACAATCACCTGGAGGAATTCGATTCAATACCTGCACTTGCCTCCGAGGGGTGGATAACTCCCCTGCCAAGTGTACACCCCTAATTTTGCCCAATTCAAACTAATTCAGACCAATTCAATTTAATTCAAACAGTTTCAAAACTAACTCAACTAATTCAGTCTAATTCAAGACAATGTACATTCAATTCAAGTCAATTCAAGCCAATTCACGCTAATTCAGTAACATAAAATCGCAATAATTCAAACCAATTCAAGATAATTCAAATTCAATTCTTGAAATTTGTACACCCAAATCAGGAGTTATCCGCCCCTCGATTGCCTCTGGTTGAAGTGAAATCATTTAAAATAATATCTATTTGTATCTCTGAATGTGTTATCACTCCTTGCGTACTAAAAATATAATTTGTCATTCTTCACTTCACTTTCATCTGATCTCACTGATGCGTTTTGAGGATTACGAGTCATTGTAGTCTATTAAATGAAAGTTTTATAATATATCTTATCATAGAATGCAATTTAAATTCTCTCACAATATTATATCAGTATCATAAGAAATAATATGGCTCTAAAAAAATCTAGTCAATGTAAAGAGAATCATATATTTTGTTCTGATTTCGAACGGCTTATCCTACACTAAGTTGCGACTGTGGCTCCAATATTGTTCGGTCCCTTACAAGTATATTTCTATTCAGAAAATAAGTGGTGAGTTTAAAAAACCTTTTAAAATGTCTTTTTGTAAGATCAAATGTCTTCTGGTCGTTCTACGAGTGAACATTATTATTTCGTGTACAATTACAAATTTGGAACATTGCAATTTACTAAAAGTTATCATTAAAAATATAAACCCAGATGTAGATCCCTCTTTTAAAATTAAAAATGAAATGTGTTGTGCTCAGAGCCGATCAGAGTCGAGACGGCAAAGTTATTCGGTCCGAAAGTGAGCTCTCCTCACTACCGCGTCCGCACTCGCTCCGCCCGCTAGAGATGGGCGATATGCTATCGATAAATCGGGTTATCGATATTTAGCAAGCGATATATCGATAATTAGTATCGATATGACCACTTCCGATATATACGTATATCGATACCTCAGACCTTATATCGAATAAAATATCGCGTTAATACAAATGTTCAGAATTATCGAAATTTAGCTGAGAAACAGAATAGAGGACTAAGCTAAAGAAAGCGCAAAGTGGTGCTGCTGACTGGCCCGAGACAGAACGCTGGCTGCAGGGGGCGCTGGCACGACTCCGACTGCCAGGCCAGGCCGAGCCACCGGCCGAGCCGCCGC